CAGTACCATATGGAAGGGTAACTGGGAAAGCAAACTAATGCTGTCTTGTTAACATTGTCCATATTCTGAGAGTTAATTTTGAATAAATGTGGTTCAGAAGCTGTTGGAGAGAATCCTTAGGGATAGGATTTACTTTCATTTGGAAAAGCATGGCCTAATTGGGGACAGTCAGCATTGCTTTGTGCAGGGCAGGTCATGTCTTACTGACTTAGTCATACAGAGATGCAGCACGTATCCCTTTGGTCCTTTGGTCCAACTTGTCCGTGCTGACCAGATATCTTATATAAATCTAGTCCCACGTGCCAGCATTTGGCCCATATCCCTCTAAACCGTTCCTATTCATATGCCTTTTAAATGTCATAATTATACCACTCTCCATCACCTCCTTTGGCAGCTCATTCCATATACATGCCACCTTCTGCTTGAAAAAGTTGCCCCGTAAGTCTCTTTTATATCTTTCCCCTCTCACCTTAAACCTATGCCCTCTAGTTTTGGACTCTTCCACCCTGGGGAAAAGACCATGCCTATTTACCCTATCCATGCCCCCCCCCATCATTTTATAAACCTCTGTAAGGCCACCCCTCATCCTCTGATGCTGTAGGAAAAATAGCCTCAGTCTATTCAGCCTCTCACTATAGCTCAAACCCTCCAACCCCAGGAACATCCTGTAAATCTTTGAATTTTTCGAAGAGGTGACAAAGGTGATCGATGAGGGTGGAACAGTGAATGTTGTCTGCATGATTTTTGTAAGGCTTTCAACAAGGTCCCTCATGGTAGGCTAATACATAAGATTAAGATGCACGGGATCCACAATGACTTGGCTGCTTGGATTCAGAATTGGCTTACCCAAAGAAGGCAGAGGGTAGTGGTGGAAAGGTGTTTTTCTGGCTGGAGGTCCATGACTAGTGGTGGTCCGCAGGAATCCATACTGCAGGGACCTCAGCTGTTTGTGATATGTATAAATTACTTGGATGAACATGTAGATAGGTGGGTTAGTAAGTTTGTTGACAATACAAAGATTGGTGGAGTTGTAGATAGTGTGGAAGGTTGTCAAAGGATACAGTGAGGAATAGATCATATGCAGTCCCTTAAATGGTGGAGAAATGACAGATGGAGTTTAATCTGGGTGCTGCACTTTGGGAGATCACATGTTAAGGAAAAGTTAATGGCAGGACCCTGAACAGCATTGATGTACAGAAAGATCTTAGGGTTCAAGTCCATAGGTCCCTGAAAGTAACCATGTAAGTAGATACAGTGGTAAAGGAGGGGCATGCATGCCATACACTTATTGTTATTGGAGTTGAGTACAAGAGTCAGGATGTCATGTTGCAGCTTTATAAGACTTCGGTTAGGCCACACTTAGAATATTGCTTTAAATTCTGGTCACCAGAAGGATGTGGAGGCTTTGCAGAGGGTGCAGAAGAGGTTTACCAGGAATCTGCCTATAAAGAGAAGCTAGAAAAACTCCGGTTGTCTTGTCTGGAGTGGCGGAGGCTGAGGGAGACTTGATAGTAGTCTGTAAAATTATGAGCGCCCCAGATAGGGTTGGCGGTCAGAATCTTTTTCCCAATGTTGAAATGTCTAATTCTAGGGGGCATGCATTTAAGGTGAAGGGGGCAAGTTCAAAGGAGATGTGAGGGGCAAGTTTTTTTTACACAGGGTGGTAGGAGTCTTGAATGCACTGCTGGGGGTCATGGTGAGGGTAGATTGGGGCTTTTAAGGGACTTTGAGATAAGCACAAAAATATGCAAGGAATGGAGGGATATGAATCGAGGGTAGGCAGAAGGGATTAGTTTAATTTGGTGTGGGGCAGTACCGGGGGCCGAAAGGTTCCTATGCTGTACTGTTGTATGTTCTATGTTCTGTTGGTATTTAATAGATATGTATTTAATTTAACTAGCCTGAAGATATATGCACTTAATTTTTGAATGACCAGAAATGTTTAACTGCATCTTGCACTAAACAGAGGAGGAGCAAAATAAATGAATCAACAGGTATTGGTTTTTTTTTCATTCAAACTGTTTGAGCATGTCATGGCACACCTTCAGCCGAGGTCAGATGTGAACCCTGACCTTCTAGCTTAGAGGCAGGGACACTACCACTGCAACACACATGCCCCTTCAATAGGTCCTTTCGTGATCACATAAGATAGAAATTCATTGCTTTTAATCGCTGATTCATTTTGAAGTACAAATACATTGTTGAAATTATTCTTGTAATACTGTGTTTTGTTCAGCAGGTGGTGCTATTGAACTATTATTCATGTTTTGTACAGTCATACATATTAGCACAGTCCCTTTTGAGAGGAGTGATGAAAACCAATTTGAGTGATTTTGTACTGTTATAGGATTGAGCAAGAGATAAATATTGGCCAAGAACTCCCATGTTTTTCTCTGGACGGTACATGGGATCATTTGTACTCACCTGAGTGTGGCATGGTGGCACTGTAGTTAGCACTATTGCCTCACAGCAACAGGGACCTGGGTTCAGTTCCAGCCTTGTGTGACTGTATGGAGTCTGCATGGGTTTCCACTGTGTGCTCCGGTTTCCTCCTGCAGTCCAAAGACGAGCAGGTTAGGTGGATGAGCCATGCTAAATTGTCCTGAAGTGTCCAGTGATGTGCAGGTTATGTCGCTTAGCTGTGGTAAATGCGGGGTTATGGAGATAGAGTTGGGGCAGTGTGAAGCTGGGTGGGATGCTCTTTTTAGGCTTGGTGTAGACTCAGTGGGCCGAATGGCCTCTATCTGTACTGTAGGGATTCTATGAAAGGGCAACAAGAGTGCTTAGTTTCTCAAGGGCAGCATCTCTAACAGTGCTGCACTCCTTCGGTACTGCATTGAAGTATTGGATTACATTATGTGCTCAAGCAACTGGAACGATTCTTGAACCTCTGTCTTAGAATGTGAGAGTGCTACCAATGAACCAATATGGACACCCATGTATATTTCTGCAAATCTGCTTAGTTTAATTTTAAAGAGCAAATCACTTTTAAAGAAATTATTACGAGTAATGTAATCATTTATTATTTTAGTGCAGAGAAACTCATGGACACATTGCAGCATCAGACTTATCAAGATGAAATTCATTCTTTACAAGAAGAGATTAGACTATTGGAGCAACAGTCCCAAAACAGTCACATTTATATGGGATCATTTCTAAAAACAATGTAAGTTAAAAGAAATCAAATTTCAAAAGCTTTTCTTAATTTGTCAGGATGATGGATTTAATTTATTTTATAAGATTAAGTCCTTAATTTAGGGTTTTTATTATTAACTTCATTCACTTTTGCAAATGTAAGTAATGAAAAGAACATGGTTAATGGGATTCTGGGAAGAAGTTTTGTCTAAAAAGGGAGACAAAATAAAAATAGCAAGGGGAGAATAGACATATGGAAATAGGTGTCATATTCAGCGTGCCAATGAAGTGGAAATGTTTGTACATATTTTCTGATTAATATATTGAGCGCACTATTTTGACATATACACAGGGAGCGATACCACCGATTGCTGAGATTGTTGCCATCATTTTTTATTGACAGAACATAATGTGGCAAGTCCTTGCACTCTTTTCTACTCCCTGAATGTTCTCTGCACCCTGCCAACCCTTCGCATATCCTCCAGTCTTTCCAATCTGCTTCCAAGCCTCTCACCCTTGTCGCTCTGCTTGCCCACAATCACACTGTCTAAATTACTCCTCCACCAGTTCACACTGTCCACCCACTTCTCTATCTTTTCTCTGCTCTGAGCCTTCAGCCCTCCACTTCCTGGCTGTCTGTCCATTTGTCACTGCCCTTCACTTCTTTGCTCCAAACTCTTTCTTCACTTCCTAGTAACCCAACTCTACAACAGGGCTCCCTCCTTGACCAGCACCCCCAGCCATTTTCTGTCTGCTCCCCCACCGTGCCATCTCTCGGTCCCTGTCCCTGACATTCTATACTCTCACATCATCTTTCTCTCACAGCATCCCCGACCTAAATACTCTCCTGATTCCCTATGGCCTCCTCCACTCTATCCCTCCTTCCTTGCTAGCATTTCAACCTCCCCTTTCTACCTTCCTGTCCTCACCTCACACCCCCATCTCTCCACTCCCCACTGCCCTCCCCTCTCTGCATGCATTTCAGTCTGCTTGTGTCCTCACCCCTCTATGCCCTGTGCCCAATGCACTATTATCATTCACTTTCCTTGCTGTCCCCAGTCCTCGCCTCACTG